TTTTTTTTATAAACTACACTAACCTTAACTCTAATTCTAGCCTGACCTTAATAGCAATGGCCAGAATTACTTTGTCTATGAAATGAGCTGCTGGCAAATTAATTGTCAGTGAAATGAACTTGTTGGTAAATTAATTGATGATGAACTAAGCTGTTGGTGAAGTAATTGTTGGTGAAATGAGCATCACCCTATTTGTAGTTAGGTAGCTAGTTCTTTTATTTGTATATACGCAGACATGTGAGATCTTCTACTATCTGTAGATAGTTGTCTATTTCTGTAAAATTCTAGGTATTCTTGTTGTTTCTGTAATATTGTTTGTTTTATTGCATTATCCTTTACTAATTTCTTTGATAATGGTTGTTCTTTCTTTGGTGGGTTATTATAACTCTATCTGAATATAAATAGCCAACTATTTTTTAGCTTGGCAGGTTTACTAGGTGGTTAAGGTAATCTCATTGCTTGTATATAATATAGAGTTATATTATTCTCTTTGTGGAAAGTTCTCCTGTTTTAGGTAAAGTTCTTGTGAGGTTGTTTTTATCCTGTTGTTCAAAAACTTGTTCTATAACTCTGTCTTGTTTTTCTTGAAACCTTTTATCTTCAGCTGCAGAGTCTTCACTTCATGAAGATTCTGCTTTAGTTGTTATGCTTGCATTACTATCAAAATGCTTATGTTTTACAGATATTTTACCTTTAGTTACTTTGTTTTTTTCTCATTCTTTCTGCTATTTTACTATCTGTAGTTTCTTATAGTTTACAGATATTTCTATTGCAGCATTGTCTGGCTATCTACTATTGGCTCTTTTTTGCTCTTCATCATTTGTACTCATAGTAACTATTGCTATTAGTTTAGCTATAACAGCTCTTCTATATGGTTCTTTTTATTTATATACTGTTCTAACTTATATCAAGAGTATTATTTGAATTTTTGATATACCATGTTTCTTCATTTTCCAAATCTTTAGTATAAGTTCTTTGTGTTTCTTTATTTTGTTGATCCTACTACTGTATAATTTCAAATAGTTCTTCTTGTAGCGTTTTATATAATTTAGTTTCTTTAAGTCTTTGTGATAGTATATCGATAATTTCATTTTATCAATATGCATTTGAGCTTTTTTATTACTCATCCTCTTAAGTTTCTTGAAATTAGAATCTATAGTTGCTATCTGGTCTACAAGGTTTTTAAGCATTTTAACTACCTCCTTGTTTCTTTTTTCTTCTTGCAATTTTTTTAATTTCTTTATTTTTGTCTAGTTCTGTCCTATATATTGTCTAAAAGTTTTTGGATTTGGTAGTAATGTACTCTTACAACTTTTAGATATAAGAGGATGATTTTGGAACCTATTTAATGCTTGAATATTAATTGTTCTACTTGTTTCTTTCTTACTCTGTCGATAGGTTTTTGTTTTCTAATGTCCTGATATCTTTCTTGACTTTCTATTTGTAATCATTAAAATGGTCCTGTAAGCTTATTATTTCTGCAATTCATATTTATTTACTGTTTAAGGAATTTCTTGTTTCTCTAATTCTTTTATTTTTTGAAAATCTGACTTAAAAAGTAAGTCATTCACTTTGTAGTGTATCTTCTGGTCTAGTATACTGTTTCAAAATATACACTTCTCTTATTTGTTCTTGTTTCTGTTCTTCAGTTTTTCAGATGTTTCTAATATTATTGCTTTCATTTTAGAATGTTGTGCTAGCATTTTATATATTTCTTGTGATAATTGTCCTTATAATAAATATATATAGACATCTTGTCTACTGCTATATATTGTTGCTTTCTGTTTTTTATGGATCTATCTTTCTGTTTTATTTTTCTTTCTTTTATTACATTGTTTATATATAAGAGATATATTTTATTTTTATATTTTTCTATGATTTCCTTGTAGTTATCTAGTTATCTACCACATTCTGTTGCAAAATAGTGTTGAGCATCATAACATAATTTGAGATACTCTATTTTTTTGCATTTGTAATAGCTTATTTGAGCTTTCACATATTATCACTTTAGTTAATAAATTTTTGTTTATACTGCTTTTAATCTTTAAGAGCTCTTCTATTTTTGCTCTATAATTCTTGTTAGCTGCTAAGTTTTTTAATAAAATCATGACATCAGTTTCTACAGTTTTTCTAAGTATAGCTTCCAAGTTTTTCTTAATATAATCCTTCTAAATCTCATCTTGTATTAGTATTGTGTTTTCAAGGCTTTTGTTCCTATATGCAATACATATACTTTGCTTCCTATTGTGTATGCACACTTTATTTTTTCAATTATTCTTTTAATTTTTCAATCAAATAGTTTTCTTGTATAGCTTTATTGATGCTTAAATTTATAGATACATGTATTACTATATACAATTTTATTTGCAATTATAACAGTTTAGCTTGTATAAGTCTATTATCTTCTAGGTTTAGTATCTCTTCCTTTAGAGTTACTCAATGTTTCATTATTTTATTCTTGGTATACTGTTGTGTTTCTGAGTATGTCATAAATATTTGCACTATATTACTTCCTGTTCATATGATGGCTTCTTGAATTCCTTCCTAAGAGCATCACATATATCTAGTTAATTTTATATTGTTTCTTAAATAAGTTATATTGCTCCTTATTTAAGTCAATTATTTCATAATTTGGTATTTCATACAGATTATAAGTATATGTTTTTTCTTTTATGACAATTTTTTGAATTTTTCAATTTTCTGAAGGTTTTGTTATAGGTCTTTAGCAATTTTTTTAAAGATTTATATTTATAGTTTTCTTTAAATGTTGTGTGCATTTTCTTTTTTTACTTAGATTTTTAAATTCATCTGGATCAGTACTTTTGATAAAAATTCCAAGCTAAATGTTGCACTAGACTCATCAGAATTTGAATCGTCTGCTTTACTGTTGTTCTTAGACTTAGATAATTCTGGTGGTTAATTATTTTAGCTGAATGTGAACCTACTTTGCTATTTTGCTTGCTATTACTTAGCATGGCTAAATAGGGCTGGTTATTTATTTGCTTTCAGTTTAGCTGTCTTTGGTTTGTTATTGATTAACTCTATAATAATATGGGCTAGGTGCTGAGAAAAGTGACAAAATTAACAATTTTTTTAAAAGATGTTTTTTTGCATAAATCAATTTATAATAAGATTAAGATCATTTTTCATTTAAGATACAAAAGTAGTTGTATTAATAAAATCTTGTAGTATAGCTCTTTAAGGTT